TTTTGTGCTATAAGAAACCCGATGGATGGACCCCCCAGAATCGTCACCAGGATGGCGGCGCGCGGAGGAACCAGAAAAACGGCGCCAACATGGTCGCTGATTCGTCCGACAACAACCCGAAGGGCAACGGCGGTGCGGAGAAGAAGAAGGAGCGCACCACGGGCCAATTCTTCCATGTGGGAGACAAGGGGGAGCAAGGAGACGCCTCTGCCAAAGTTGGAGCAGAGCTGCACCCCCTAGACTATTGGGTGTTGGACACAGGCGCTGCTTGGACGATGACGCCGCGCAAGGACCTGCTGGACGAAGTACGAGCTGCACCGATCAATGAAGTGTGCTCCGCCTCTGGACACATGTTGAAGGTGGCTGGTGCGGGACGAGCTGCGTTTAAGGGAGCGGATGGCAAGCCGGTGGTGCTGCACGACGTTCTCTTCGTCCCCGACCTGAAGGCCAACCTTATCTCCCTCCGTAAGCTTGGCAAGGCTGGGGTGAACACCAACACGGATGGGGCACGCACTTATAAGGGGAAGCTGGGCAATCGGGTGCTTTGGGATCTGCACGAGAGCAAGGACGTGTACAGATCTATGTGGCAGCTGCCGGCCCTGGCGTGGCATGGTGGGGGGCAGGCTGGAGAGGGGTCTGCATCCCAGGGGGAGTGCAATGCCGTTGGAGGGGTTGGTGTGAAAGTGTCGGCCAGATCTGGGGAGACAGATTGGGCAACGGCACACCGGCGCTTAGGGCATGTGGCAATGCCTTTGCTGAAGCAGCTGGAGAAGGATGGAGCCGTTAAGGGTCTGAAGCTGAACGGACAGCCACCCGATGACAACTGTGAAATCTGTTTGCTTTCAAAGTTCACCCGTTTCCCTTTCCATAGTGTGGCTGGCAGGAGCAAGAAGCCTTTGGAGCTGGTCCACATGGACTTGGTGGGGCCGCTGCCGGTGCAAGGGCACAAGGGGGAGCGGTATTTTCTTACAATTGTGGATGACTGGAGCAGGCTGATGTGGGCGTATCCGCTGAAGCAGAAGGACCACGCCGCCTCCACGATACGGGACGATTGGCTGCCATTCGTGGAGAAGCAGGCGGAGTGTGTAGTGAAGCGGATTAGGACAGACCGGGGTGGTGAGTTCCTTGGAGCTGAAATGACGGCCTGGCTCAAGAAGCAGGGCATCCAGAGAGAGCTGACCACGGCTTATACCCCACAGTCCAATGGTGTAGCAGAACGGGCAAACCGGACCATTCTGGAGACAGCTAGGGCGCTGCTCATAGAATCTGGGCTGAGCAATTCTATGTGGCCTCATGCTGTCCGGCACGCCACCGTCGCTAGGAACAGGGTGCTCACCAAGGTTGGGGATGACTCGTGGGTGCCGTTGGAGAGGTGGCTTGGGAGGAAGCCGCCGGTGGACATGCTGAGGGTGTTCGGTTGCATGGCAGTTGCCCACGTCCCCAAGACCTACCGAAGTAAGTTGGGGGCGAGTGCAATCTGGTGTGTGCATTTGGGGCTGGCTGCTGAGAGCAAGGGATGGCTGCTGTGGGAACCATCCAAGGGTGTGTTGTTTGACAGCAGGGATGTGAAATTCATTGAGGGCATGATGTATGGGAGCTGGGAGAAACAGCCAGAGGCAAGGGTGTCCCAGCAGATGGAGCAGATCACCATGCAGCTGGACCTGACTCCTAGTGTGTGGGAGGAGGGAGAGGAGGCAGCTGCTGGAAATGGTGATGGAGAGAAGGTACAGGAGGCATCTGCTGGTGGAGAAAATGGTGTGGAAACTGGCGGCAGCACTAGTGGAGCTGCTGGACCCGAGGGAGGAGAGAAGCAGCAGGGAAAAACTAAGAAGCCGAAGGGTGTCGTTATGAAGGGATGGGAGACACCCGTCTCCAGGCCAGGACGTACCCGTATGGCTACTAAGAAGCTGACTGCAGGAACTGATGCAGCAGAGCAGCAGCTAGGGACCGAAGAGGCATTGCTGATTCTACCTCATGGCTATGACCCGGATGAGGAGGATGAGCCTGCGTACTGTTTTCTTGCCCCTGCACCAGAGGAACCAGCTAGCATGGAGGAGGCATTAGCTGGACCAGATAGGGACAAGTGGCTGGCTTCTAGGGATGCTGAGTACCAGAGTCTGCTGGAGAATAGGACATGGGATCTGGTGGTGCTGCCTGATGGGAAGAAAGCGATACAATGCAAGTGGGTGCTGAGGATCAAGACCGATGACAAGGGACAGGTCACCATCTACAAGAGTAGGCTGGTGGCGAAGGGGTTTATGCAGAAGGAGAAGCAGGACTTCAACGAGATCTTTGCTCCCACTGCCAAACCCCCTACCCTCCGTGTCTTGTTGGCAGATGCAGCTGTTAGTGGGAAATTCATCATTCAGATGGATATTTCAACGGCATTCCTGAATGGGATTTTAGAGGAGGATGTGTACATGACGCAGCCGCCTGGGTATGAGGATGGTACGGGCAGGGTGTGCAAGCTCAACAAGTCCATCTACGGCTTGAAGCAGGCGCCACGCTGCTGGTACCAGAAGTTGGCAGCTGTTTTAGAGGAGATTGGATTCAGGACCAGCAGTTGTGATGAGAGCCTCTTTCTCAAGGGCGAGGGGGAGAAGCTGGTGCTGTTTCTGGTCTATGTGGACGACATTCTTCTCTTCAGCAGCAGCATGAAGGAGATCCAGAAAGTGCAGCAGCAACTGATGAAAAACTTCAAGTGCAAGAACCTTGGGGAGGTAAAGTACTACCTCGGGATGCACGTGGAGAGGGATCCAGATCACAGGTGGTTGAAGCTGCACCAGGAGAAGTTCATCAAGGAGCTGGGGGAGAAGTATGGGATTGAGAATGAGCGCAAGGTTGCAACTCCCCTGCCAGCAGAATTCAAGCTTGTGAAGGCTGCAGAGGATGAAGGGGTTGAAGCTGAAGAGCAGCAGCAATTTCAGTCCTTGGTGGGCAGCCTCTTGTACGCAGCAGTTCACACGAGGCCCGACATCTCTTTCTCGGTTGGGCAGCTGGCTAGGGTGGTGCAGAATCCATCAGAGGAGCAGGTGGATGCAGCTGAGCGTGTGGTGAAGTACCTGAACTCTCACCCAAGCATTGGAGTTCAATACTCCGCATCTGCACAGGTGAAGCAGAAAGGGGTGGAGGTGCTGAAAGAGAAGGGGGAGAGGCTTGGAGAAGGCAAGCTATTTCTCACTTGCTTTACCGATGCTACATGGGCTTCTGAGAAGGAGGATTCCTCATCTGTGGGAGGATACATCTGCGTAGTTGGGGGAGGACCTGTTAGTTGGAGGTCCAAGAAGCAGACGGAGACGGCACTCTCTTCCGTAGAATCAGAGTACATGGCGATGTTCCATGGGGTGAAGGAGGTGATTTGGCTGAGGAGGCTGTTAGAGGAGATTGGCCAGGAGCAGAAAGTTGCTACGCCGCTTGTTTGTGATAGCAAGGGGGCTCTTGGGATGGCCAGAAACGCTGTGCTTCATGGGCTGAACAAGCACATGCGTATCAAGTGGCACTGGCTGCGTAAAGAGGTGAAGAGGGGGACGGTGAATCCAATCTACATCAAGACTCACCAACAGCCAGCAGACTTTCTCACCAAGAGGCTTGCGGATGAGCCTCATTGGCGTTGTGTGCGCATGAGTGGAATGAGCATGAACTAGCATGGAATGACGGGGATGCAGCCGACAGGCTGAGGGGGAGTGTGTTGGGTGCAAATGCACATTGCACGACATCCTGCCGTCTGTTTGTACGAGTATGCGTGTGCGAATGCATTTGCGTGTGAATGGTGTGTTCGTGTGTTTGTTTGCTTTCGCATTTTTCGCTTGATGCATTTGCAGGTACTCGCGCAATGTGCGCTTCGGCACAACATTGTACGCGCTATGAACAGTGCAAGCAGAAAGGACGAGCTCGCAAAGGAACCCAAGATGGAAGCTTTGCAGTTCGGTTGAGTTGATTGCGCAGATTCAGTTCTATCCAACTCGAAATTGTACTGTTTTGTTTGGTTAACTATAGTGTAGCAGGGAAGGCACTATAGGGGTACAATTTAGGTGAAGGTTGGATGTTGTTTGTCTGTATCTGCATGCTACAAGGCCAGGGGAAACCAGCGGAACCAGCATTTGGCTGGTTGGGCAAAGACAAAACAGGTTCTGTTTTTAGAACCTGAACCTGGTTGTTGTTTTCCCAGGTTGGAAAAACAGAACCAGAGGTTGTTTACCAACCTACCACCTGCTATTTTGTCCAGCCAGGTTGGTTCTGTTGCTTGGAATTATTTGGGATCATCCCTGGTTGTTCCCAGGTTGATTCCCAAGGTCCTTGCTAGCTAGAACTATTTAATCCTTCTCTGTTTGTACCTGAATATAGTCAAATTGATTCAAGCGAATTCCTTCCTCGCTGGAATTTCGTTTCTACGCGGTTCGTTGGCGGAATGCTACCCGAGTCAACGCTAGTACGCTAGCGCTCCAACGCTAGGCAAACGCTGTCCGAGCCATAACTTAGTAATGGCAGAACTTTTCGCGAGGCAACTTGGCTCATTTTAAAGCTCTTGGAGCGAGCTTCGATATAGCAAGTTCTCAGCTTAATCCGATCGACGGTCTGCACGGCACGCTGCGCAACGTTCAAGGTACTCTTGCTGTTTTGACTAAGTCCTTCTTGATCCCTCTCTCTACAAACTCGGACCCGAGGATAGGGGCTGGTCTTGTACCAGGCACCCAGGGACCCTTGGAGGTGACCCCGAGGAGAGGTTTTAAGTTTGATTAAGTCCTAATAGCTTGAGTTTATTAGGCCCTTACACCAACACTAAGAGTATGTACGTTACTTGCTCATATGGTTGGTACTATGGGAAAGTGCGCTACTTAACGATTTAATTGGCACTAAAAGTAAGTGCGTTACTTACCGATCTGGTTGGTACTTAGAGTAAGTGCGTTACTTACCCATAAGTCTGGCTGGTTGTGCCGTGCATATGCTGTCTGTTGGTCCCCCCCCTCCGTTTCTTCCGTGGCGTTGGGCGACGAGCTGCCTTACTCGCCACGAACCTTTGTCGCGGCGTTTGCTGTAGTTGCTCCTCCGCTCGTGTCGGCCCCGGCGCCGGCTGTTGTGGAGATGTCATCTCCCCTTGCTCCTGGGTCAGCTCCGTCCTCTGTGCCTCCTGCTGACCTGGCCCCTGCGCCTCTTGCACCTCCTGCTCCTGCCGTGGCATCGTTGTCCGCGCCTGCCGCTGCTCCTGCTTCTCCACACGTCGTGGTGTCTGCTCCTGCGCTAGCAGTGGTGGCCGCTCCTGCACCTATGGTGGCGTCCCCTCCTGCGCCTGCTCTGTTGCCGGCACCTGCGCCTGCGGTGGCGTCTGCTTCTGCGCCTGCTGTGGTGTCTGCTCCTGCACATCCTCCTGCGCCTGCTCCAACCTTTCCCCCTGCCCCTGTGGTTGAGCCTGCGCCCGTGCCTGCCGTCGTGACGTTGGCGGCGTCTGCTGGGGCGGCCCCTTAGCCGCTGCAGGCCGTGTCCGCCGAGACGCCCTCTTCTGCTGCTGTTGGGCCGATTGGCAGGATGCCTCCAGCCACCATCGGCAGCCTGGCCCAGGCGAGGGTTCCTGTTGCGTTGCCTGCTCCCGCGTCATTTCCTGCTGCCCCGCCGGCCCCGCGTCAGCCGTCCCCCCATCACAGTTCCTCCCGTCCGCACTCTCCCTTGCCCCGTGATGAGGGGATTCGACGCGGCATCGTCGTGATTCGCCTCGTCGTCGGCATCCGCAGGCGAACTAGCCCGTCCCCCGTGGCGGACGCGGTGGTTGGAGGGGGGGACGCGATCGTGGTGGTGGCGGGGCGTATGGGCCGCCACTGACGCTAACGGATGTGCAGCGAGTTGTTTCGGCTGCACTGCGCGAGGAGAGGGCCGAGCAGGCGAGCCAGGGTAGCTCGCGGCACCACGCTCCGGCGCCTGTGGCTCCTCCTCCTGCTGCCCCCCCCGTGGTCGTGCCATCCGCAGCTGCTCCCCCTCCACCTCCTCCTGCTGCATCAACCTCTGAAGGTGGGGCTCGTCTTCAGCTGCCATGGGTGCCTCCTGTGGTAGGCCTTGAGTTTGTGTCCGAAGTGGGGGTGGTAGCGGCTCCCGTGACTGATCCTGCTCCTTTTGCTCTCTTTCCTATCCCAACAGGCGAGGCCGCCCGTACCTGAGGCAACACTTGGCCAGGTTTGGAGGCTTTCTGAGGGCCTGCACGCGCTTCTGCTGGTTCAAATCCAGGCGCACGCCTCGCTTTCACGGCCTCCCCAAGGTGTTCTTCTTGACGGGCAGCGGGCGCACTGCCTTGAGGCAGCCGACCAGCTTGGCATGCTCCTGGCGCCCGTGTTGGCTGCGCCCGTGCTGGGATGGTTCGCGGCTGTGGGGGAGCTTGAGGCTGCTGTCCGTGGCCTGCGTCATTTGCGCGCAGGATCTGCAGCCGACGCGATCGGCGCAAGTACATTGGTGGTGCGGGAGCTGTGGCGGGCTCTGACTGGGATGCTCGCTGCTCTTGAGGCTGACCGGATGTAGCTCGGGCCTCCTGTTGCTCCTTAGAGCTTGCCATGCGTAGTTGTGTTAGGCGGGCCCCCGTGTTGCCATCGCATGTACTCGGTGCTTATAGTCTTTTGTGTGTGTTATCTCCTTGCCGTCCCCGAACGCGCAGCTGAATAATGAGCCACCCACCAGGCCCAAGGCCTTATTTTCTAAGGGTAGGGGAGGCTGAGAGGCTGAGAGGCAAGGGGCTAAGGGACTATGCCTCTCTCTCTCTCTCTCTCTCTCTCTCTCTCTCTCTCTCTCTCTCTCTCTCTCTCTCTCTCTCTCTCTCTCTCTCTCTCTCTCTATGGTCCGTGTATTGAATATGAAGAGGGTACAGCATGCATGGTATATAGTCAGAGGCTAACAACAAGCATAAGGAGTCCTACAAGCACACCCTACAACTCCACAAGTGGCTCAATGACTGCAAAGCAGTCACCTAGGTGCAGCTCATCCCCAATCCCCCCCACAGGGGGGTTTTTTGCTGCTGCTGCTTCCCCTAATTTGAGCAGGAGTCCTACCGGCCTCCACTCGGTGACACGCCCATTCTCCCCCTTTTCTCCACCGCATCCGAGTATAGCTGCGATGGGTACCTGTCCTGTAGCTTCTGGATGTGATGCCATGACATACAACTCGCTGCTTCGTCGTTCTCCACGTAGATATACTTCTAGACCCGCAATCCTGCCTTCAAAAGCGCCGCCAGCCCAACACTGATGCCGACGAACAATTCCAGGAGCACTATGGGCTTCTGAAACACTCTTGTGTCCAGGTGCAGCTCTCGCAGGCGCCCGCTCTCTCCCCAATGCTGCCGATGCCAGTCTCGGTGCCTCCTTTCCTCATCCAGCTTCTCCCAGCTGAGTATCCCCAACTCCTCTTCCACTGTCTTGAATTCTGCTTGATATGCCTCCCTTGGCTTCCGGCGGATAAACCGCACGGGCAACTCCGCCACGGGCTGGTTCTTCTCCCAGTACACCACCCGATAGGTCAGCTTCTCTTCCCACATGCAGATGGTGGCACCGATGCTGTACAGGAACTCCACCCCCAGCAGCAGGATATAGTCTTCGGATTGTGATATGCCACACTGCAGCTTCACTGAACATTCCTCAGGACTCCCCTGCCGGATGAAGATCTCCACCGTGCTCCTCGTCTTTGGCATCCACTTAGTGGTCCCTCCCTCTACCGTCACCAGCAGTAGCCCTTCTCCTATCTGCCGTTCCGGCCGGTCCAACTGTAGCTGCTCAGCTAACCTCCTTCCGATCAGCACTGGGTGTGCACCCGTGTCTATGGTTGCCTGCTTCACCGAGATGCCTCCTATCGTGATGTACCCCTTCTCAGCCACTAGCACCGATGCCGCGCAGCTGAGTCGCTCCAACGGGTGCCTGCGCGGAGGATGCTGGTCCTCTTCCGAGTCTGCCCTTCTCCTGGGGCCGAGCTCCCTTCCCCCTTCGGTCCGCGGCCTCAGGTTCCTCTCTCGCTGCCTTAACCCTAGTTCTTCCCATTCCCTCGCCGGCCGTGCCATCAGACGAAACTCTTCCTCGCTGCTCTCCCCTTCCTCTTCCCTAGCCACCATGGCTGGCTTTCTTTCGCTTCCGGCCCCTCGCCCTTCCAGCTGCGCTCGTAGCTTCTCGATTTCCACCCTCATTTCAGCCATCTCGCCCCTCTCTCGGCTGTGCCCACGGCCTTCTCCCCGTCGTGAATAATATTCTCGGTCCAGATGCCCTCTTTGTCCACACTTCCTACACACCGGCGCCTCCGGGAAATCGCGCCTCTGATGATCTTCTTGCCCACAAACGGAACACGCGGGCGGATTACGACAATCCCGCCTCAGATGTCCCGCCTACCCGCAGTTGTGACACTTCCGCGCATCCCCTGGACCCCTGGGTGGTCGATCTCTCTCCGCTAGCGCCGCGCTCTACGCGGGCCTCCGTCGCTCTGCCGCTCACTCCGCCGTCCGTTCCACTTCGAACAGCCTTCTTCCCGTTTCCACTCTCTTCGCTGTCTCGTATGCTACACTTAGCGTCGCCGCTGCGCCCATTTCAAAAATCTTCACTTGCACGTCCCTTTGTAGCTCATAATTCAAGCCATTCAGGAACTTGCGGACAAGGCGGCCCTGATCCATGCAGTTCATATCTTCTCCCAATTCCACAAGCCGTCCATAGTACGCCGGGAGTGACTCTCCCGTTCTCCGTTTGAAGTCCCAAAACTCCACAACCCGCTCAAGTGTCTGAAGAGGAAACTGGTCCCGCAGGATCTCCAAGAATTTCTTCGTCGGATCTCTTTCCCCTGGCCTCCCTTGTGCTGCCCAGTCCAGCAGCTCACGCCGACAGATACGATAGTAGGTCTCGGCCTCCCCCGTCAGCGTGTTCGACAAGCCTCAGAAGAATTCGTCCACAGCCAGCCTATCGCGCTCCCAGCGGTCCCTCAGATTCTCCAGCTGCATTAGGTAATTCTTTGAGCGATGGTCCGCGTCGCACTTCTCCTGAAAATCGCTCCGGCACCTCCACCTTCGGTAGCATCGTGTACCGCCACCGCATCGATGCCGCCTCTTCCTCGAAGCCCTGCCACGACGCGCTCCGCTGGTACGGCCTGTCGCTTCCCCTCCGTCCTCCTGAGGTCGCTGCTGCTTCAGCGGACACGGGTTTCACTACTCCCGTTCTGGCTCCTTCTTCTTCCACTCCGTGCGTCTGCGCACGTTCCTCCGCCGAACCGGCGACTCCACTCGGTTTTCCCATCATTCCCTCCTCTGCGCCGTGCGCCTCTGCCTCCTTCTCCACCTCGCGCTCTGCGCGATCCTTCTCTTCATTCTCGTTCATCGTAGCCGTTCGCCTTATCAGATCCTTCGCGGCAAACTCCAATCCTGATCTCGTGGGCATACCCTAGTCGCTCCAAAGATTGCTTATATGTGATGAGCTCCCAGCTCCCTCACATAACTTCTTCCCGCCAGCTCAGCCTTAAGTCACCCAACTTGTCATGTCTCCCTAATTCTACTACTTGCTCAAGATGCCGCAAGCAATTTTATTCAGAAAGGAAACATACAAGCAATGAGGATAGCTACAACAAGGCTCCTCCTATCTACCAGGTCTGCCTCCGCCATGCTCCTCCCGTCTAACCCTCGCCTGTCCTCGGCAGCTATTGCAACCTTGGAGCAGACTTGCAGCCATCCTGCCAACTGCCTCTGTTCCCCGCCTCTTGCTACTTTTCCTCCAGCTGCCACTGCACTGTTCCAGCTGGCTCCTTGGAGCATACCTGCATACATACGAAAGCAAACACACATGCACGCGAACACCCATCCGAGTTCTGGTGGTAACCTGCTTTCCTTGCCGCTGCCAGTCGCTGTAATTCCCTCCCTTGCCCACCTTCCTCTTACGTAAGTCCCACCCAGTTTGCTTCCCACACACTTCTCCAACCCTCCGCTTCAGCAGTTGACAACCTCCAGCTCATCTCCTCGCACTCCCAACCGTTGCTTGTCCCTTCGCCTCTTATCCTCGATACTCACCCAGCGCGCTATGTACAGTACATACATTTTGTACAATCCTCCGTGCGCTTACCCCTCTTCCCTTACATTCATACAAATGTGACATTTTGTACAATCCTCTGTGCGCTTACCCCTCTTCCCTCACATTCATACAAATGTGACAAACATCCGTTGCGTGTGACCTTTCAAAGGGTTCAGTGTCATCTGTCGTGTCGCCTTAACCTGTACGGCATATCTGCTCCGTGTACTCTCAGTGCCAAGACGTGCTGGAGTCTAATGTCTGACCGCTCCAGCCGCTCTTTCTCCAGGATTTCCCGTGCGTCAAGGGGTAATGCCGCTTCACATTCAGTAAGCCACGCATGGAGAGGCGTGGTGACGTCTGCGGGCAGCAACATGTGGTCCCGGGCCTGCGTCAGCGCTCCCTCAGGGGCACACTCTAGTGATGCTAGAAAAAGTGCGACCTGGGTGAAGCTCGCCGTGTATCTGTACACCCCTTCGATTAAGGGGTCCGTAATGGCTATTCCCCCCAGTGATGGCGGCAGTGACGCTTGTGCCCAAACGCGTGCTTGCTCGGTGCGACAAGTAGGAACGCGAATGTCACACGCAGTCAGTAACGCAGTAAGCAAGTCCATCTCCCACTGACTCCAGGTATCGCGGGGCAGCAGGTGGAGCAGAGTCGTCCTGGTGAGGTATGCCACCCGCCTCGAGATACAGCGGGTAAGCAACAGTGATGCTACCTGGGGGCCAGCTTTCTCAAGGAGAGGTAGCGGCTTTGCCATTTCCTGCAGCTGACCCAACAGGAACCGCGCCGCCCCGTGGTCTAATCCAACGAAACTTCCCAGAAGCCGCACGCCGTCCTGGGAAAAGGACACCCCAGGCGGAAGCTGGTCCTGCTCTGCTGCAGCTCTACTCCAGGCTGCGCATTTTTGCGGGTTGTATGTCAGACCCAGTTGGGCCAATCTGTCGGTGAAGTGGTTGAACGCTGCTACAGTGTCTGCCGAATTCCCAAGAAACGTGACATCGTCTGCGTAGGCCAGACAGAGCACGTCCGGGTATGCCTCGGCGGTGTCACGGAGCGTGGGGTGCATTCCTGCTGCTAACAGTAATGGGCCAAGTGGGTCGCCTTGGCGTACGCCCCGCTCACTGGTCAGTGGTTTGCATGCGAAATTGGTGTCGAGATGCAACTTCGACGGGTTACTGTAGGTCAGTTTCACCAACGGTAACAAGGGCGAAAGCCCAGGCTCCTATAACGCTGTTGCGATGGCTTGTCGTGAGATACTGTTGAATGCATTTGAGATGTCGGTCTGTAGTACCAGGCTGTTGGTCCGTTTGTCAAGAAATGCCCGTGGATAACTGCCTCAGCTCCCCCTGGCACTGCCACCCCATACTGTAGGGGCAGGAAGTAATTGCAGGCAGCGTCTCCCATGGCTGTGAGGGCTGCCTTGGCTGTCAGCCGAGTAATGCACTCGCCTATCGCAATTGGTCGAGCACCCCCCCCAGGTTTGGCCAGGGCTATGAGTCGTGAAGCAGTCAGTAGGTCCGCCACCGGTCCTGGAAGGTTGCCCCCCAAAATGGTGTTCATCAATGCGTGCAGATAGGTGCCGACCCGTCCATTTGTGATTGCCGCGTCGCGTATGTGCTCGAAAGTTGTACCCGAAGGTCTGGCATCAATCCCGTTTTCGCATCTCCCAAGAAGTTTTCCGAGCAAAGTCCGCGTGGGCGATGGACAGCTTTGACTCTCGCGTGGGCGGCCATATTGTCGTCCTAGGTTCAGCAGGTGGGTGTTTCCGACGGAGCTCGTCCAGGATTTCTGGAGTTGGAGTGCAGACTGGAGTTGACTCCAATGCCAGCACGGCTCGGCGCAGGCTCCCGCGTTTTGCCAGGGCCTCGGCTTGGCTAATGACCCCAGTAGCATTGGGCTGATGACGCGGTGGCGGGGATGTATTGACTGCATCAATCGCATCTTTGTACAGCTGGTCCCATTCGCCACGCTGGAAGGCTCGGAGCCGGGCCTTGATCTGGGGCCAGTTCGGTCGTTGCGGTGACTTTTGGCGAAGTGTCAGGCGCAGGAGAAAGAGGCGCCATCCCGCTTCGGATTCCGGGTTTCGTGACAGGTGAAGTAGCGGGGTCAGTAGCGCTAGCGAAAACAGCTGACACAGGTTTGGTGGTAACTGGCGTGCCAGTGGCGGCTGCCGACTGTCGCAAAGGGCTGGGATATCCCAGTTCACGGTGTCAGCGAACAAGTCTGCCCGCATCGCCAGCTCCTCTGGCGAGAAATAGCAGGGGGTTGGTGATTTTCGCGCGCCGCGGCCGCGTCTGCCGCGGTCCGATTTCGCCGGGAGCGGCTTGTCCTGGTTTGTGGTGGTGTTGTTGGAAGCTCGCCCGTACGATCAGCATCGGACGGTCCGCGAGCGAGTTCGCCTTGCTGTGCGGGTGACTGCCTTGTCCCTGCTCCCATCCTCACAGCGGTCTCCCTCGTTCCTTCTTCTCCTTCCGTCCCTTCATCTTCACTGGCAGGCACGGGCTCCTCCCTATAAGAGGGGTCCATATTTTCATCGTCGTCATTATCTAGAGCGTTTAAAGCCCTTCTTGCCTCCGCCTGGAAGCCATTCTGTGGCCCTCCTCCAGCTCCGCTAGCTGCTTCTCTCCCTCTGCCTCTCACTCCTCGGCCCCGCGATGGTGATTGTTGGAGTGACCGACTACTCGCCATTGCGCGCTGGCGCTACGTCAATTGCGTACAAAAGGCCGCTGTCTGCCTGCGGAACGGGGACGATGGCGACGGGGTCCCCGCCGCCGTCTGCTCCGAAGCCCGTAATAGTAGCCGCTGAAAACCCTCCTCCCCCCAAACCGTCGCCTCGCGAGGCGTTAGTGTCTCAGCGTGGCGAGGGTTCCTGCGTCTGCTGCTCTTCCCGTCGCACCTGCTGCTCTTCCCGTCGCGCCTGCTGCTCCTCCCTTGGTGCCCCCTGCTGCGGTCGCTCCGCCTGTCGTGCCTCAAACTGCCAACCTCGCCGCTCCGTCTGTGGGTGGCGTGCGGGCGGTTGTCGATGGCGGCGTGGCGGCACAATCGGTGGAGTCCGCCGCCACTGACATCCTGGGACCTGCGGCGCTCCCCGCCGCTCGCGCTCCTCCGACTGCGGCGACTCTGGCGCCTCCTCCGCCCGCGCTGTCGGGACCTGCTCTTGCGCCTCCTGTGGCTGCTCACCCTGCGCTGCTAGCGCCTGCTCCTCCTGCGCCGCTAGTGGCTGCTCCCCATGCGCCGACCGTGGCGGTTCCCCCTGCGCAGCGTCTGTCATCTCCTAGCCGTCGTCAGCAGTGGCCTCAATCCCCTGCGCCACGTGAGCCAGGCGAGCCAGAGCAACTCACCGCGTGTCGCTCCTGCCCCAGCAGCACTCCCTGGAGCTGCGCCCTCTGCCCAGGCAGCTCCTCTTCCTTATGTGGCTGTTCCTCCTCCTCTTGCTCCCGCTGACTCGACCCCTGTCCCCCGGAGTCACATTCGACTACCGTGGGTGCCCCCAGTGGCGGGGTCAGATTTTGTGACCGCGGCAGGGGGGCCAGAAACTGCGCAATACACGTCCCTGCTGCCTATGGACCCCCCCCCCCCACCCGGTCTGCAGGTGCAGCGCACCCCTACCAGGCGCACAACTGCAAGAGTAAGCACGTTACTTATGAATGTGGCTGGTACTGAGAGTAAGTGCGTTACTTACCCGTATTGTACGTACCAAGAGTAAGTGCGTTACTTACTCATATGGTTGGTATTAGATGTAAGTGCGTAACTTACGCATGTGGTTGGTACTAAGAATAAGTGTGTTTCTTATCGGTGTGATAGGTACTAAGAATAAGAGCGTTACATATCGATGTGGTTGGTACTAAGAGTAAATGCGTTATGTACCAATGTGCTTGGTACTAAGAATTTGTGCGTTACTTACCCATGTTGTTGGTACTATGAGTACGTGCGTTTGTTACCCATGTTGCTGGTACTAAGAGTAAATGCGTTACTTATGTAGTTAGTACCAAGAGTACGTGGGTTAATTACTGATGTCGTTGGTACTAAGAGTATGTGCGTTACTTACCCATATGGTTGGTACTAGAAGTTAGTGCGTTACTTATTCATGTCGTTGGTACAAAGCATAGATGCGTTACTTACCCAAGACACAGACTGAGGTGTTGAGTGGGGCTGATGCTAAGTGTGAAGCAGAGTGTGAAGGAGGAGTATATCTCTCTACTGTTGAATGGGACTTGGTAGTCAAGTGAGGTGCTTCCTGGAATGAAGGCCATCTCTTCCAAGCTGGCCTTTAGGCACAAGTATGCACCTGATGAGCAGCTGACCCATTACAAATTAAGGAATGTGGCGAAGGGGCTGAGCAGACAAAGGGGAGGGATTTTGATGAGGTGTTTGCTCCTGTGGAGAAGGGCACAATTCTAAGGCTATTGTTGGCAAAGGCTGCAAACCGTGGATGGAAGATCAAGCAGATGAACACCACGCCTGCTTTCCTCAATGGGATCATCCTGGAGGAGCTGTACATGCTGCAGCCTGAGGGATTGGATGATGGGAGCGGCAGGGTATGGAGGCTAAAGAAGGTCATCTACGGCCTGAAGCAGGCTCCTCGTGCTTGGTATCACAAACTGGAGGAGACTCTGGTGGCTGGGGGATTCAAGGAGTGAGTATGACCATAGCTTGCTTCTTCAACAAGAAAAGGACGAATTCCTCATGCTCTTGGTGTATGTGGACGACATCCTTCTCTTCTCTGAGTCGTCTGTAATGATTGACCTTGTGAAGGAGTGCTACAAGATGGAAGATGTGAAGTACTACCTGGGAATGCATATGGAGAGGGACCTTGACAAGAGAGTGTTGAGGTTGAACCAGAAAAAGTACTGTGAGGGGCTGGCTGTGAAGTATGGGCTGCAGGATGGAGGAAAGCCAGCAACCCCACTGCCTTCAAGGTTCATAGTGGAGCCGTATGCTGATGAGGAGGTGGTGGGTGAGAGCGACAGGAAGCTGTTTCATTTCATCTTCGGGGCACTCAACTATGCGGAGAACCACACACGGCCTGACATTGCCTTTGCTACATCCAGGCTTGCCAGTGTGGTCCAGTTATGAGCAGCTGGAAGTGGCCAAAAGGTTGGTCCGCTATATAAGTGCAACAGCATAAGTTAGTTTGGAGTAAAGTGCAGTGACGCAAAGGCCGCAGGGGGGTGCTGCTGATTTGGGCTAAGGGGACATGCTCTTAACTTGCTACACCAATGCTAGCTTCAACTCTTTGTAGGGCGGATGGCACTAGCTTTGGAGGCTATGTGTGCTTGTTTGGAGGTGGTGCAGTGAGCTGGCGCAGCAAGAAGCAGAATGAGGTGGGGCTGTTTACATGTGAGACTGAGTACATGGCCCTTTATCATGTGGCCAAGAAGGTAGAGTAGCTGAGGCGTTCGTAGGACGAGATCGGAGTATGCCGGTAGGGGCCGACTGTCATATTCTGTGACAACGAGTCCTCTGTGAAGCTCGCAAAAATTTCTTGTCTTCATGGGCTGACACATCACATCATGCCAGAGTGGCATTGGGTGAGGAGGCTCCTGGACAAGGAGGTGCGGCTGGAGATTGTGAAGACCCAGCAACAGGCTGCAGATATATTCACCAACCTAGGTTTAGTTGGTAGTAAGCGTAAGTGCGTTATTTAACCATGTGGTTGGTACTAAGAGTAAGTGCGTTACATATTTATGGCGTTGGTACTAAGAGTAAGTGCGTTACTTACCAATATGGTTGGTAATAAGAGTGAGTCCATTACTACCCATTTTGTTGGTGCTAAGAATTGGTGCGTTACTTACGGGTGGTGTTGGTACTAAGTGTTTCTCTTACCCATATGGTTGGTACTTAAAGTAAGTGCGTTACTTTCCCTTGTAGTTGGTACTAAAATTAAGTGCATTGCCCACCCATGTTGTTGATAATGAGAGATAGTAAGATACTTGACGATTTTGTTGGTACTAAGAGAAGGTGTATTACTTAGCCATGTGGTTGGTACTAAGAGCAAGTGCGTTACTTATCGATATCGTTGGAACTAAAAATATGTGCATTACTCATCCATGTTGTTGGTAGTAAGGGTAAGTGCGTTACTTACCCATATGGTTGGTAATAAAGTTATTGCATTACTTACCCATATTGTCAGTACTATGAATAGGTGTGTTACTAACGCGTATAGTTGGTACTAAGAAAATGTGCGTTACCTGCACATGTGGTTGGTAACAAAAGTGAGTGCACTTTACCAATAAAGTCATGTTGTTGGTACTCAAAATAGGTGCGTTACTTACTGATGTGGTTAGTACTAAGCATAAATGCGTTACTTACCCACATGCGTTACTTATCAACCATGTTACTAAGCATAAATGCGTTACATGGTTGGTACTAAGAGGAAGTGCGTTACTTACTCATGTGGTTGGTACTAAGAGTACATGTTTTACTTAAGTACCAAGAGTACATGCTTTACTTACACATGTCGTTGCTTAGAGTAAGTGTGTTATTTAATCATGTTGTTGGTACTAAGATTAAGCGTGTGACTTGCCGATGTGGTTGGTACTAAGAGTAAGTGCGTAACCTACCCATGTGGTTGCTGCTAAAGGTAATTACGCTACTTACTCGCATGTTTGGTACTAAGAATAAGTGCGTTACTTACTAATGTGGTTGGTACTCAGAGTAGTTGGGCTACCTACCGATGTCGCTGGTACAAAAAGTAAGTGCGATACTTACCCATGTGGTTGGTACTAAGAGTAAGTGCGTTACTTACCCATGTGGTTGGTACTAAGAGTAAGTGCATTTTTTCCCATAAAGTGCGTTACTTATCCATGCCATTGGTAGTAAGCGTAAGTACGTTATTTACCCATGTAGTTGGTACTAAGTGTAAGTGGGTTACTTACCCATGCCGTTGGTACTAAGAGTAAGTGCGTTATTTACCTATGTCGTTGGTAGTCAAAGTAAGTGCGTTACTTACCCATATTGTTGGTAGTCAGAGTAGGTGTGTTACTTACACATGTGGTTGGTACTAAGCATAAGTGCAGTACTTCAACATGTGGTTGGTAGTAAGGGTCAGTGCGTTACTTGCTCATGTGGTTGATACTGAGAGTAATTGCGTTACTTACCCATGTATTTGGTACTAAGGGTAAGTGCATTACTTGTCTGTCTTGTTGGTACTAAAAGCAAGTGCGCTACTTACTTATGTTGTTGGTACTAAGAATTAGTGCATTATTAATTCAGCGCGTTACTTACCCATCTGGTTATTAAGTGTAGGTGCATTCCTTACCCATGCTGTTGGTACCAAGAGTACGTGCATTACTTACCCATATTGTTGGTACTAAGTGTAAGCGCGCTACTTACCCGTGTGGTTGGTACTAAGAGTAAGTGTGTTATTTATCCATGTCATTAATATGAGTAAGTGGTTTACTTACCCATGCTTTGGATATTAAGAGTAATTTTGTTACTAACCCATGTGGTTGGTACTAAGAGTAAGCGTGCTACTGACCGATGTGATTTATAATAAAATTAAGTGAGCCACTTACCCATGTGCTTGGTACTACATATAAATGCGTAACTTACTCATGTGGTTGGTATCAAGAGTGAGTGCGTTACTTACCCTATGTGGTTAGTACTTAACGTAATTGTATTACATATGTCAACGGGAGTTGTGTGTTGCTTGTTTGCTCCGTCCTTGCTTCCTCCTTGCAGAGTTCCAGCAGCTGGACACTGGGACGCTGACCGTCCTTCAGGTGGACAACGAGTCGGCTGCAGGGCAACCTCAAGCACATGGAGCGGTGATATGCCTGACTGCAGCACATGGTGCATGCTTGTGTGTTGTACTTGTTGTATTTGTTCTCCTCTTGCTTGTACTTACTTCCTCTGTTCTCTGGGAGTGTTGTCGGGAGTTGTACTTGCTGCCGGGGGGTCTGGTGTCATGGTATAGCATAACGAGGGATTTGAGAAGTTTAAGCCTGCTCGAGGATCGCGTGGTGACAAAGCGCAACAGGAGAAGCAAGAGGAGCGTAAGAATGTGGTTAATCCCGACGGTGAAGAGGAGGATGACGGGTACCTGAGTGATGACCCTCACGAGTGCTACGACGCGAATGCAAAAGACAAGGTTGCGCAGCGGATTAATTTTGCATCATCCTGCTGATCCCCGTTGTCTTCAGATAGAGGCGACACGTGCGCAAGCGTCTTTGCATGCGCTATTTACTTTGTGGAGGAAGGACTTGAAGATGGAGATTCAAGAGATGACCAAATTTTAGAAGTTGACGCAACATACCTGAACAGGACGCAGTATTGTCGGCTGCAGGTTACCTACGAGCGGGCTCGCGACGCCAACTTCATCTGGAAGCATGAGATTGTGCACGCGTGTCTTGATGGGAAGCGGATCAACCTAGACTGGCAGCACCCAGTTGACCTGGCGTATATGAAGGCGCGTGCCGCGGACCCGACGCTTGTGGAGGTCCTATTTAAGGGGGTGGACGCTGTGATACGCCAAAGATGCTCTGTGAGATGCTGGTGAAGGTGAAGCTGGAGAAACGGGGGAGATCGGCCTTCAAGGGAGGGTGCTGTCTCCATCGGTTGGTGAACCCTGTTACGGGGATGGATACAGACGAGGTCAAAGGTTTGGTGAAGCAGCATGTCGGTGAAAAGCTTCGCTGGCGTCACCTGATCGAAGAGTCGACCTCACATGACAAGCAGCTTCTGGTGCATTACCCGTCTCAGAGTTGCACCTATTGCTCAGGGTATGCATGCTGTGCCCCATGACGTGCCAATTCAGACGCCAGGCCGACCACGTACCCACTGTCAAGGTACGAGACTGCACCAGATCCGCCACGTCAACCTTGGGATACCACCTCCGCGGTCGGCTTCGCCAGATCCACCTAAGCGACAATGCCGTGCCTCCACAAATCCCCGTCGCTCGGGTAACCTAGTCGACTGGATAACCAAGTTGGCGCCGACTTGTATGGCAGGTATTGCCCAGCTGCTGTACATCGTGCTCGACGACCATCCAGGTCGACGACCACCCCTTGGCCGACTTTACGAAGTCGGCTACTCCCCAGGTCGGCGCCATAAAGTCGGCGCCCTGCTAGGTCGACCATTTCTAGCCAATTGGACCTGCTAGACGCTAGCTACACCAAGGTCGGCGTCCCCAAGTCGGCACCCCCTTCTAGGTCGACGTCCCCCTCATTGACCACTGTGGGGATCTGGTTCAGGAAAGATAAATCTATTCAATCATCCACCTGGGTACAAGGCGAGGCTATATATAGGCTCGAAACAAATGCAGTAATCCAGGTATTCTTAAAAGGTTCCGCGGGTCGCGAAGCGTCCCGAACGGGTCCTTCCCAAATTCGGTAGAAGGCGATTCGGTGGCAACCGAAAAGCCTAGAATTCGGTGCACTCAACCTAGTTCGGTGCCTATAACTATAATAACTATAGTAAAAGCAACGAACCTAGGAAATCAAGCAAAAGCATGCAAGATAAAATAAAGCTAAGCTAGATAATGCGTACTCAAGAAGAATCAAGCAAGCAAAGTCTAGTAAATTCGTCATACTCTCAGACGTCCCCCCCAAAGCTGGGTGGCGTGAGATACACCCTGCTTGACAAGATAGTCCTTGAGAGCATGGCGTGCGTTGCCCATATCAGCTTCTGCAACCCAACTGTCTTCCGATGGGTCGTATCCCTTCCAGCATATCAGGAACTCGAGCGTGTTGCATCGTCTGCGTCGATGAGCGAGCACTCGTTCCACCTCGTACTCTGGTTCATCCTGTACGAGAACTGCTGGTGGTGGCGGTAGGTGCCCTCCTTGGAACTGCTGGTTGGAGTCCTTGTAGGGCTTCAGCAGCTGAACATGGAAAGCATTGTGAAGCTTCCACGTAGTAGGTAAGCGCAAGCGGAATGTATCTGGAGTCACCATCGCCTCAACGCGGAAGGGACCACAGAAGCGAGGCCGGAGCTTGGATGGAAGGTGAGACAAGTCTAAGTTGCGTGTGTTAAGAAGCACCTGATTTCCGATTGCTACTGCGTGATCTTGTGGATGTCAATCGGCATACTGCTTCTGGGAGTTCTGCATCGTGGTGAGATGTCGCTGAGTCTTCTCCCATAGCTGCTGCATGGTGGTGACGAAGTTGTGTGCGGCTTGGACGTGTGCCGGTGTGGTTGGCTGCTGTGGTGTAAGTGGTTCCCGTCCGTAGCACAGGAAGAAAGGAGATTTCCCTGTGGCCGCATATGACGGGTTGTTGTAAGCGAACTCAAGAGTGGGTAACTGTAAGTCCCAGTGGCTGATGTCGTCTTTGCAAGCTATGCGCAGTAACTGTTCAACCACTTGATTGAGTCGCTCAGTCTGTCCGTCAGTCTGGGGGTGGTACGCTGAAGACATTGCAAGCTTTGTCCCCAACAAATCCATGGATTCCCTCCAGAACTTACTAGTGAACTTTGGGTCTCTGTCTGAGATGAGTGTAGCGGGGATGCCGTGGATGGTAATGATGCGGTCGAAGAAGAGGCGAGCAGTTGCTTCAGCTGTAGCCGTGGCGTTGGTCGGAAAGAAATCTCCCATTTTAGAGAACTTATCGATCACCACGAGTATAGCGTCATGCCCTCGTGAGGTCGAAGGAAACCCAATGATAAATTCTAGGCTGACGACTTTCCATAGTTGCTCCGGTACGGGTAGAGGCTGAAGTAATCCTGCTTTTTTCTGCTTGCTACTCTTCATCCGTTGGCACGTGTCGCAAAAGGTGACAAATTGCTACACGTCTGCTACCATCCGGGGCCAGTAATAGTACTTCGCTATTCCTGTTAACGTCTTGTTGCTCCCAAAATGTCCCGCGTATGCCACATTTTGGAACTCCTCCAGCAAGATCTGTCGGTGGGGGGCATAGTTCGGCACCCAAATCTTTCCTGATCCCTTTCTTACAGCTAAGTCTTTCTCCCACTGTAATAGCTTCTGTTTCTCTGCTGTAGCAATCTCTGCATCCACGGATCACCCATGTTGGAATAGTCCCTTGAGTAGAGGGTTCATCCCGTCGAGCTGGATGCCTGCTACATGTCCGGGGCGGCTCAACGCGTCTGCCTTGTTGTGTAGCCCGGATTTGTTGACGATGTTGTAGTGGAAGTGTGTCTCCAAGAAGTCCACCCACCGCACCTGTCGTCGTGAAAGCGTCGGCTGCGACTTCAGGTATTTGAGGCTGCAGTGGTCAGTGTAAACTGTGGTCTTGGCTCCCTCTAGGTAGCACCTCCACGCCTTGAAGGCTGTGACTATCGCTAAGGCTTCCTTGTCATGGATGGGGTAATTCAGTTCTGCTCCGTGTAGCTTCTTACTGAGGTAGGCGATGGGCTGCAAACCGCGTCCGTGATCCTGCATCAGTACTGCTCCGACTGCCTGGTCACTAGCATCTACTTACACCACGTCATCTATGTTTGGATCCGGTAGGATGAGTACTGGCGCTGTGGTCAGTGCTGTCTGTAGCTGCTCCATGGCTTGCTGTTGAGGAGTATCCCATTTGTAGGGCGTATCCTTTTTCAGTAGGTTGGTCAGTGGCGCTGCTATCTTAGCGTATTGCGGCACGAATCTGTAGTAGTAGTTGGCGAAGCCTATGAAGTGCTGTAACTCCTTCATGTTCTCCGGTACTTTCCACTTTTTAACGTCTTTGATCTTCCGCGAGTCCACGTGTATGCCCTCCGCACTCACCATGTGCCCGAGAAACTGCACCTTCTTTAGTGCGAAGTCGCTCTTCGACAGCTTCACGTAAAACTTGTTTTTCGGCAGGATCTCAAAGACTTCCCGCAGATTCTCCACTTGCTCCTTCATGTTCTTGGAGTAGATGAGAATGTCGTCCAGGTACACTACTACGCACTCGTCCAGCAGGGGCCGTAGGATGTGGTTCATCTCCGCCTGGAACGTCGCCGGTGCGTTGCAGAGTCCGAACGGCATCACTAAGTATTCGTAGGAGCCGTATCTGGTACGGAACGCCGTCTTGTGGATCGAGTTGTCTGCCATCTTGATCTGCCAGTAACCCGACCGTAGGTCCAGCTTCGAATATACTGTTGCACCATGCAGTTGATTGAGAAGATCGTCTATGTGCGGTATGGGGTATTTGTTCTTGACTGTCTGTTTGTTCAGTGCGCGGTAGTTGATGCACATCCGTAAACTACCGTCTGGCTTTGGAGTGAAGAGAACCGGTGCGCCGTAGGGAGAGGTGGATGGGCGGATCAGTTGTCTGTCTAATAGATACTCTATTTGCTTTTCCATATCTGTCAGTTCGGTCGGACTAAGGCGGTATAGTACACGGGAGACGGGTTTTGCACCTGGTTCCTCCACGATCTCGTGCTCATGGGTGCGCGGTGGAAGTACTCCTGCAGGCAGGTCGTCTGGCATGATATCCTTATACTGCTCCAAGACCTCCTGTACTACTGCATGTAGCTCCAGACTCGGCTTCTCCTCCTCTGCTATTGCCATATCCAGTACTAGGTAACCAGTCTTACCCACGTTCACCGTCCGTTTGAACCGTGCAAGTGTCGTTTGAGGAACATCGCCTGTATCGATCCATCTTCGCAGCTCCACATGTTTTCCATTGTTGTAGATGCTTGCCTTCCGATCCAGTCTATATCGGGGTTGAACCGATTCAAGAAATCATGCCCCAAGATGAAGTCTAATCCCTTGATGTTCGTGATCGGCAACGTCAGCTTCCAGCTTAACGCCCCTATCTGCAGCTGCAGTGTTGACTCGCCGTGGATGGGAAGCTTCGTACCGTCCACCATCGTTGCTGTAAACTGGGTCTCCTCCGATGACTCTCCAATTTTCTCCAACGTCCCGCGGTCGCACACCAAATGGGACGCACCACTGTCCACCAGTGCCTGGAGGCGTCGCCCGTTGCAGATCACCTCGAGGAGTAGTGGTTGTTGCTGTTCCGAGTAGCTGTAGATGGTCTTGCTTTCAAGATCGTAAGGTACATCGAATGTATCATCCCTAGTTCCAGCGCTCGAAGCTGCTGACTCAATATCAGTTTTCAATTAAGCAGGGTTAGAAGGATTAATCCGAGGCCGATTCATCTTCTCCTGTGCCTGGAACCTTCCCCTAAGCCTTTGCAGTTGTGTAGGCTTCTCCTGTGCGGAACGGTTGGTTGCATTAACACCGTGCTGCTGGGAGAGAATATTAATTCCTCTGAATGTTCAACTCGTATCAACGCTCCGCAATAGGGTCCCCATATTACCTGGTACCGGTTTTGTTGGTGTAAGGGCCTAATAAACTCAAGCTATTAGGACTTAATCAAACTTAAACCTCTCCTCGGGGTCACCTCCAAGGGTCCCTGGGTGCCTGGTACAAGACCAGCCCCTATCCTCGGGTCCGAGTTTGTAGAGAGAGGGATCAAGAAGGACTTAGTCAAAACAGCAAGAGTACCTTGAACGTCGCGCAGCGTGCCGTGCAGACCGTCGGTCGGATTAAGCTGAGAATTCGCTATATCGAAGCTCGCTCCAAGAGCTTTAAAATGAGCCAAGTTGCCTCGCGAAAAGTTCTGCCATTACTAAGTTCTGGCTCGGACAGCGTTTGCCTAGCGTTGGAGTGCTAGCATACTAGCGTTGACTCGGGTAGCATTCCGCCGTCGAATAGCGCAGAAACGAAATTCCAGCGAGGAAGGAATTCGCTTGAATCAATTTGACTATATTCAGGTACAAACAGAGAAGGATTAAATAGTTCTAGCTAGCAAGGACCTTGGGAATCAACCTGGGAACAACCAGGGATGATCCCAAATAATTCCAAGCAACAGAACCAACCTGGCTGGACAAAATAGCAGGTGGTAGGTTGGTAAACAACCTCTGGTTCTGTTTTTCCAACCTGGGAAAACAACAACCAGGTTCAGGTTCTAAAAACAGAACCTGTTTTGTCTTTGCCCAACCAGCCAAATGCTGGTTCCGCTGGTTTTCCCTGGCCTTGTAGCATGCAGATACAGACAAACAACATCCAACCTTCACCTAAATTGTACCCCTATAGTGCCTTCCCTGCTACACTATAGTTAACCAAACAAAACAGTACAATTTCGAGTTGGATAGAACTGAATCTGCGCAATCAACTCAACCGAACTGCAAAGCTTCCATCTTGGGTTCCTTTGCGAGCTCGTCCTTTCTGCTTGCACTGTTCATAGCGCATACAATGTTGTGCCAAAGCGCACATTGCGCGAGTACCTGCAAATGCATCAAGCGAAAAATGCGAAAGCAAACAAACACACGAACATTCCATTCACACGCAAATGCATTCGCACACGCAGACGGCAGGATGTCGTGCAATGTGCATTTGCACCCAACACACTCCCCCTCAGCCTGCCGGCTGTATCCCCGTCATTCCATGCTAGTTCATGCTCATTCCACTCATGCGCACACAACGCCAATGAGGCTCATCCGCAAGCCTCTTGGTGAGAAAGTCTGCTGGCTGCTGGTGAGTCTTGATGTAGATTGGATTCACCGTCCCCCTCTTCACCTCCTTACGCAGCCAGTGCCACTTGATACGCATGTGCTTGTTCAGCCCATGAAGCACAGCGTTTCTGGCCATCCCAAGAGCCCCCTTGCTATCACAAAACAGCGGCGTAGCAACTTTCTGCTCCTGGCCAATCTCCTCTAACAGCCTCCTCAGCCAAATCACCTCCTTCACCCCATGGAACATCGCCATGTACTCTGATTCTACGGAAGAGAGTGCCGTCTCCGTCTGCTTCTTGGACCTCCAACTAACAGGTCCTCCCCCAACTACGCAGATGTATCCTCCCACAGATGAGGAATCCTCCTTCTCAGAAGCCCATGTAGCATCGGTAAAGCAAGTGAGAAATAGCTTGCCTTCTCCAAGCCTCTCCCCCTTCTCTTTCAGCACCTCCACCCCTTTCTGCTTCACCTGTGCAGATGCGGAGTATTGAACTCCAATGCTTGGGTGAGAGTTCAGGTACTTCACCACACGCTCAGCTGCATCCACCTGCTCCTCTGATGGATTCTGCACCACCCTAGCCAGCTGCCCAACCGAGAAAGAGATGTCGGGCCTCGTGTGAACTGCTGCGTACAAGAGGCTGCCCACCAAGGACTGAAATTGCTGCTGCTCTTCAGCTTCAACCCCTTCATCCTCTGCAGCCTTCACAAGCTTGAATTCTGCTGGCAGGGAAGTTGCAACCTTGCGCTCATTCTCAATCCCATACTTCTCCCCCAGCTCCTTGATGAACTTCTCCTGGTGCAGCTTCAACCACCTGTGATCTGGATCCCTCTCCACGTGCATCCCGAGGTAGTACTTTACCTCCCCAAGGTTCTTGCACTTGAAGTTTTTCATCAGTTGCTGCTGCACTTTCTGGATCTCCTTCATGCTGCTGCTGAAGAGAAGAATGTCGTCCACATAGACCAGAAACAGCACCAGCTTCTCCCCCTCGCCCTTGAGAAAGAGGCTCTCATCACAACTGCTGGTCCTGAATCCAATCTCCTCTAAAACAGCTGCCAACTTCTGGTACCAGCAGCGTGGCGCCTGCTTCAAGCCGTAGATGGACTTGTTGAGCTTGCACACCCTGCCCGTACCATCCTCATACCCAGGCGGCTGCGTCATGTACACATCCTCCTCTAAAATCCCATTCAGGAATGCCGTTGAAATATCCATCTGAATGATGAATTTCCCACTAACAGCTGCATCTGCCAACAAGACACGGAGGGTAGGGGGTTTGGCAGTGGGAGCAAAGATCTCGTTGAAGTCCTGCTTCTCCTTCTGCATAAACCCCTTCGCCACCAGCCTACTCTTGTAGATGGTGACCTGCCCCTTGTCATCGGTCTTGATCCTCAGCACCCACTTGCATTGTATTGCTTTCTTCCCATCAGGCAGCACCACCAGATCCCATGTCCTATTCTCCAGCAGACTCTGGTACTCAGCATCCCTAGAAGCCAGCCACTTGTCCCTATCTGGTCCAGCTAATGCCTCCTCCATGCTAGCTGGTTCCTCTGGTGCAGGGGCAAGAAAACAGTACGCAGGCTCATCCTCCTCATCCGGGTCATAGCCATGAGGTAGAATCAGCAATGCCTCTTCGGTCCCTAGCTGCTGCTCTGCTGCATCAGTTCCTGCAGTCAGCTTCTTAGTAGCCATACGGGTACGTCCTGGCCTGGAGACGGGTGTCTCCCATCCCTTCATAACGACACCCTTCAGCTTCTTAGTTTTTCCCTGCTGCTTCTCTCCTCCTTCGGGTCCAGCAGCTCCACTAGTGCTGCCGCCAGTTTCCACACCATTTTCTCCACCAGCAGATGCCTCCTGTACCTTCTCTCCATCACCATTTCCAGCAGCTGCCTCCTCTCCCTCCTCCCACACACTAGGAGTCAGGTCCAGCTGCATGGTGATCTGCTCCATCTGCTGGGACACCCTTGCCTCCGGCTGTTTCTCCCAGCTCCCATACATCATGCCCTCAATGAATTTCACATCCCTGCTGTCAAACAACACACCCTTGGATGGTTCCCACAGCAGCCATCCCTTGCTCTCAGCAGCCAGCCCCAAATGCACACACCAGATTGCACTCGCCCCCAACTTACTGCGGTAGGTCTTGGGGACGTGGGCGACTGCCATGCAACCGAACACCCTCAGCATGTCCACTGGCGGCTTCCTCCCAAGCCACCTCTCCAACGGCACCCACGAGTCATCCCCAACCTTGGTGAGCACCCTGTTCCTAGCGACAGTGGCGTGCCGGACAGCATGAGGCCACATAGAGTTGCTCAGCCCAGATTCTATGAGCAGCGCCCTAGCTGTCTCCAGAATGGTCCGGTTTGCCCGTTCTGCTACACCATTGGACTGTGGGGTATAAGCCGTGGTCAGCTCTCTCTGGATGCCCTGCTTCTTGAGCCAGGCCGTCATTTCAGCTCCAAGGAACTCACCACCCTGGTCTGTCCTAATCCGCTTCACTACACACTCCGCCTGCTTCTCCACGAATGGCAGCCAATCGTCCCGTATCGTGGAGGCGGCGTGGTCCTTCTGCTTCAGCGGATACGCCCACATCAGCCTGCTCCAGTCATCCACAATTGTAAGAAAATACTACCAACCGCTCCCCCTTGTGCCTTGCACCGGCAGCGGCCCCACCAAGTCCATGTGGACCAGCTCCAAAGGCTTCTTGCTCCTGCCAGCCACACTATGGAAAGGGAAACGGGTGAACTTTGAAAGCAAACAGATTTCACAGTTGTCATCGGGTGGCTGTCCGTTCAGCTTCAGACCCTTAACGGCTCCATCTTTCTCCAGCTGCTTCAGCAAAGGCATTGCCACATGCCCTAAGCGCCGGTGTGCCGTTGCCCAATCTGTCTCCCCAGATCTGGCCGACACTTTCACACCAACCCCTCCAACGGCATTGCACTCCCCCTGGGATGCAGACCCCTCTCCAGCCTGCCCCCCACCATGCCACGCCAGGGCCGGCAGCTGCCACATAGATCTGTACACGTCCTTGCTCTCGTGCAGATCCCAAAGCACCCGATTGCCCAGCTTCCCCTTATAAGTGCGTGCCCCATCCGTGTTGGTGTTTACCCCAGCCTTGCCAAGCTTACGGAGGGAGATAAGGTTGGCCTTCAGGTCGGGGACGAAGAGAACGTCGTGCAGCACCACCGGCTTGCCATCCGCTCCCTTAAACGCAGCTCGTCCCGCACCAGCCACCTTCAACATGTGTCCAGAGGCGGAGCACACTTCATTGATCGGTGCAGCTCGTACTTCGTCCAGCAGGTCCTTGCGCGGCGTCATCGTCCAAGCAGCGCCTGTGTCCACACCAATAGTCTAGGGGGTGCAGCTCTGCTCCAACTTTGGCAGAGGCGTCTCCTTGCTCCCCTTGTCTCCCACATGGAAGAATTGGCCCGCGGTGCGCTCCTTCTTCTTCTCCGCACCGCCGTTGCCCTTCGGGTTGTTGTCGGACGAATCAGCGACCATGTTGGCGCCGTTTTTCTGGTTCCTCCGCGCGCCACCATCCTGGGTGACGATTCTGGGGGGTCCATCCATCGGGTTTCTTATAGCACAAAAACCAGGGGTGCCCTTCCTTGCACAATACAGCAACTCCCTTTCATTTTGCCACCAGCACCCGACTTGCCCCCACGTCCAGATTTCGCACCGCGACCCCAACCGGTACCTCCTTGTTGGTCGTTGGAGTCGTCGTCT